CCTAAACCCTAAACCAAAGCCCAAACGCGGCGGCACTGAATTCGGCCTTGCACCCCAAGTGCGAACACCCTAGAGGTTCAGGAGTTCAGGGTTAGGGTTTAGAGTTCGGGGTTAGGGTTTAGAGTTCAGGGTTCGGGTTTAGGGTTCAGGGTTAGGGTTTCGGGTTTAGGGTTTAGGGTTTAGGGTTTAGGGTTGATGGTTTAGGGTTTAGGGTTTAGGAGTTCAGGGCACCGACTTCGTTTTGGTAGAAAAGGGGCTCCCAGCGTTTACATGGCGTAAGGTTTCTCATCTCAGACATTTGGGATTTTTGCGGGGTTGTGTTGTTTTTGCATTCAGGTCGAAGGCCTGAGTTCGTGATTTCCGGTTTCACGTCCCCGGTTTAGCATCTTTAGCCGCTTTAGCCTTAATTACATTCCAAAACCCTAAACTCTAAACCCTAATCCCTAGACCCTAACCCCTAAATCCCTAAACCCTAACCCCTGAATCCCCTGAACCCTAAAGTCTAAACCCTAAACCCCCCTATAAAATCTATGCCCGGAATGCCTAAACCCTAAACCCTAAACCCTAAAACAAAAGATTTCCATGCCGTGAGCCAGGAGATTCGAAATCGTGTGCGCAGCTACGCCGCGGAGCACAAGCCGCTCCGCGAAGGGTTTAGGGTGTAGGGTTTAGCGTTTAGGGTTCAGGGTTTAGGGTTTAGGGTTTAGGGTTTAGGGTTTAGGGGTCAGGGTTTAGGGTTTTGGGTTCAGACTTTAGGGTTTAGGGGTCAGGGTTTAGGGTTTAGGGTTTAGGGTTTAGACTTTAGGGTTTGGGGTTTAGGCTTTAGGGTTTAGGGGTGAGGGTTTAGGGTTTAGACTTTAGGGTTTAGGGTTTAGACTTTAGGGTTTAGGGATGAGGGTTTAGGGGTCAGGGTTAGGGCTAGCATGTGGCTTTAGGATTTCGGGGTTTGGGGGTCAGGGTTTGGGCTAGCATGTGGCTTTAGGATTTGGGGCCGAGGAGATTTCAGCAGGGGTTGACATTTCGGGTTTAGGATTGCGTGTTCAGTGTTTAGGGCTTAATCAGGATTCACGATTCTTTCCAACACTGCAACACCCAACCAACCCTCCCGATCCCGATGTCCTAAACCTGGACCTCTAAGCCCTATAAGCCCTAAGCCCGAAAGCCCAAAGCTCCGTAAAGCCCTGAAACCCTCAACCCCAGAGCCCCTGAGCCCTAAATCTCGCACCCTAACCCTAAGGGTCCATGTACCCCAAAATAGTATATACTTTGTTCCCAAAGTACCTATATAGGGACTAGTTTAAGGCTTATGTATATACTATTTGAGTACATGGACCCTTAGGGTAAGACACCTAAACCGTCAAGGCCGGTCCTCGAAACAGGAGCCTCTATGCGTCTAGGGTTTAGGGTTTAGGGTTTAGGGATAGATTTACTCGCAGCAATTTGATTCCTTTGGGGTACCTTGTTAATGTTCTACGAAATTATGGTACAATGATTGCTTGTAGGTTTTGCTCAGGGTTCCTTATCAAAGCTAACGCATAATGTCACCTAAGCCCGAGCGGTCCTAGCATAATCTAGTTGTGTTTAGGTTCTTATGATAACCATTGGTATAGACATGAAAGGAGCCTACGAACAAGTCGCGTTCAAGGTAATACAGGGGCCTAAATAATTACCAATACTATTTTTGAGGGGTTTCCTCATCGTCAGTATAGTATAAAGGGCCCCCAAAACCCGATTCTAAGTATTAAGGCCCCTACATTATAGGAGCCTTGCTCAGCGCTTGAAGTTGAGAGGCTTTCGCGCTTAGGGTTTTGGTGAGGAGCTAGGTTTAGAAGCCGCAAAAGGTACAAACCCGATGTTCGGGAGAGCCTCTGTCGGATCGCCAAAGTGAGCCCCAAAGCTGTATCGCGCAGGCCTCAGCAAGGGCTGAGTCTTAGCGGCTTAGGTTTTAAGGTTGGGTTTGGTTTAGATTAGGGTTTGAGGTTTAGGGTTTAGGCGCCCGAAACTGTATTCGTTGGGCTTCATGAATCTGGAATATATTGTACCCGAAACCCCATACTTGTTCTGGCTCCTATATCATATTTCTTTTTTGTGGCGTAGATTTGGCGGTTTTAGGGTTTATAGGAGGTTTCGATGTTTTTTGGGCTGTGCGTCGGGAGGGCTTCAAGTTCAAGTTTAAGGGTTTAGAGCTTGCGGTCTGGGATCTTGCTTAGGGAGTTTTTTTGGTTCAGGGGTTTTTAAAGGTTTGGCGTTGGGGTTCGGGGCGGTTGAAGGTTAGTGTTTAGGGCTGAGGAAGTATAGGCTTTAGTATCTAGGGTTTACTGTGATGAGGTGGGGAGTTGGGCGGATAGCCAGACTCTGAGATGGCGACCATCAGGATAGAGGTAGAGCTACCGGGCTTGTTTCAGAACCTTGTTGAGGTCTTAGTGTTAAAGCTCTCCAGGCTTCAGCCTTCCTGGGCTTGCTTCCGTGCTTCACCATTAGCTTAACAGTTAACAGCAGGCGGCAGGCAGCAGCAGCAGCAGGTAGTAGCAGCGGGAACAATTGTAGTAGTCTAGTAGTAGTCGTCGTCGTCGCTGCCGTCGTCGTTGTCATCGTCATAGTCGAAGTAGAACTAGCCTCAAACCAGGCTACGTAATGAGGTGTCCCTGGGCCTGGCGCTTCGTACATAATAGTAGCACCAAGAATGTGCCAATACTACATAGAAAAGCGCGACAACTACTGCTGGCGCCCTAAACCTTAAACCCTAAGCAACTACGAGAGCAGTCTGCATCACTACGTTTCTAAGGCTTGGCATTGGCGATGGGGGCAACGAGGCACGGCACGGATTGCGAGTTTGCTGACCGAAAACTTGCGCAGTGGATGCAGGGTCTAGGATGTAGTCTTTTGTGAGTTGCCTGAATTCTCAATTCTCGGGACATGGAACCCTAAGCTTACATACGACTATTGTTGCTCATCGTTCCGGTATCTGGGCAGGCTCTACCTAAATCCTACACCTTGGCAAAGGGACCTTCATCTTGACAGGTTCAGGAGTCATGTTGCACTCTGTGTGTGTGTGTGTCTTTGTGTGTGTGTGTGTGTGTCTCTAACCATTTTCATGAATCCTCAACAGCGTGATCCCTGTGGTTCTGCCCACAAAATCCGGTAGTACATCAGTACTGTAGTAGTGCAGTAGTACTGTACTACATCAGTGCAGTTGCACTGGACTACTCTTAATTGTTATCCTCTGTTCAATTGCTGCCAGAAAGAATGAAGCCGAATCGGGACCACATTGTGAAGGATCACCCGCACCCCCCGGAGATGCTCAAATGTTGAAATGGCACCGGCCGGTGTGCATGACGTGAACGAGGGCCACCTAGCAAATATAGGTGCCTAAATGATTGCCAATCTTATAGGTATCGTACGTATAGTATACTATGAGATACCCCAAAACCCATTGCAATTATTGAGGCCCCCTCTATTCACCCCCCTTACTACCTCCACAAAAATCTACAGGACCCCTTAAAGGAGCCGTACTCTAATTGTCAAGGCCCCTAATTTAAACCCTAAACCCTAAACCCTAAACTCTAATTGTCAAAGCCCCTAATTTTAAACACCGTGCATCAGGAATCCCTGCCTTGTCTCAGGTGGGCATGGGTGTGGTGGTGGCCATCCCAGGCTCAGATTGAGGGTTTAGGATACTTGGAGGACTAATATGGGTTATAAGTACAGTTACTTATAACCTCACTTATAACTACCCATGAACCTCCAAGTAGGGTTTAGGTAGAGCTTGTGGATTAGAGGGCAATCTTGGGCAATCTTCGTAGGTGGTTTAGACTGCTTTCCTGCAGTTCTCGTTGCTGTCAGTCTTGTCTGTCCGTTTGCCTCTGAACTGTGAATGAAGTTACCCATAGGCCCCATAGTAGTTCCTTTTTGGGATTACCTTATAGGATTTTAAATAGGAACTCCCAAAAGGAACTACTATGGGGCCTATGGGTAGAGGCACACACAGCCTCGAACAGGGCCTCTCCCAGTGATGGCTACTACTTCCACTCTCAGCCCTGCCGTGCTGAGACGTCGGCGCTTGTGGTGCGCCCATTACGCCATCAGCTGCCTAGACCCTAAGGCCTACTTGGAGGTTCATGGGTAGACATAAGCGGAGTTATAAGTCCCCTAATATGGGTTATAAGTATAGTTACTTATAACCCAAACTTATAACTACCCATGAACCCTAAACCCTTAACCCTATAGAACCCTTTAAAGGAACCCTTAAAGGAACCCCATAACCCCACTTATACCTTCCCATGAACCTCCAAGTACCCGTCTGACTCTGCCGATGTGCGCCATCGTCGGGACAACTCAGCGCCTCAAATGCTTTTTTTGCATGTCAAGGGATCTGGATTTCGAGGTTTAGTCAGAGGTCCCCCGTCAACCCCCAAAATAGCGAACCCTCTATTGTAGAGGCCTAAATAATTACAAATACTATTGTGGGGGTTCCTCACTATAAGAATTATTAAGGCCCCTTTATTACCCTAAATCCCACACCGTGGCTGTGTTGGGAGTTTTAGGCTTCGACTCTGCCTGCAATCTAGGGCTTAGGGGGCTTTGGGTTTAGGGTTTTCCGAGAGTTGAGGGTTTAGGGCTTAGGGCTTTCCGAGAGTTGAGGGTTAGGTTTTGGGGCAAAGTAGAGTTGAAAGCTGACCGACAAGGTTTCTCGACCAGCTTCGCCAGAGTAGCTGCATTTGCGTTTGTTGAAACTCCCACGCATGGGCGGGAGCATTTCTGAGATTCTGGGCGTCTTGTCTGTTTGGTTTTGCTAGTGCTGCTCTGCTCTGCCGGCAGGCGTTCCGCAGCTTTCTCCGGGTGATGAGTTTGCCGCGCTCTCCACGTGCTTTGCCTAGTCGCGAGAGAGCATACCGACCCTGAAACTTTTCAACCCTGCAGACACTGAAGACTTAAGAGAGCCAGCTCGGTCGGGGCCGCTCTGCATGCGAAGTGTAGGGTTGACAACTGGCAAATTGAGTGACTGAGTGGGCGGTTCGGTTTTTGGGCCACAAGAAGCCTCCTTGAGTCAGAAAAGCCCTTGTCTACGTCCTGCACCGTTTCAACGCCGAAGCTCACACAAGCATGTTCTTCAGCGATGTTGGATGACATCGAGAGTTGAATGTACGCATCTTGAATGGGTCTTTTGGTTAAAACTGCTCAGAAATCATGCTGGAGGGATAAGCCCTAACTCCGAATCCGAAGCCTTGAGCCTTTCCTTTGAGGAATGGATGCTATCGCGCCTGCGATCACCTCATCCTGGGCACGGTGAGCAATTGGGCAGGCCTTTGTGCTGTCGTGCTTTGCAGCAGAAGTCCCGGCAAGCAAGCAGGTAAGTGAACGGCCGTTTCCCACAGCAACATAACAACACCTTCCCGCCCAAGCAGCAAAAACAAGAGCCCGCCCCAGCCCAAAACAGCAAGCACCCCACAAACAAAACACAGCACACACACACACGCGGGTTGAACCCACACCCTAAATCCTAGCGGCCCTGAGAGATCGCAAGGCTCCGCATTCGAAGCAGCGGCAGAGGTCCTCTACCCGCTGGTGCCCAAAAAGCCGAGAGAAGGCCTGATACTATAGGGGCCTTAATAATTAGAATAGGGTTCCTTTTAAAGGTTCCTTAAGAGGGATACTTTAAGGGGTTACTATGCATAAGGGTTCTATGTAGGGGCCAATAAGATAATTAGAATAGGGTTTTGGTTCCCAGTTTTCTATAGTAGTAACAATAATCATCATCATAAATTTAAATAGTAATAACAGTCAAGAGTAGTATTGGTAGGAACCCCCAAACCAGTGTTTGTGATTATTTAGGCCCCTAGATTAAGTGGGAAGGGTTCCCTTGCAGTGTCTCATGGCCGGGGTTCCTTCCAGGTGATATATAGGGTTAGGGTTTACGGGTATAGGGCTTAGGGCTTTGGGTTTAGGGTTTTGGGTTTAGGGCTTAGGGTTTAGGGGTTTAGGGTTCATGGTTTATGGAAGCCCAAAAGTTGGAGACCTAATGGCCTCATTCCGTAAGAGCAATGTATAGGGAATCCAGCACGATTTGTCCTTAATCCGGTTTCCAACTTTGGTTTGCTATATAGAAGCATAAACAGTTACCAATGTTATTCCTTAGGGTTCCTTATTGTGATGATACTAGAAAGGAACCCCAAACCCTATTCTAAGTATTTAGGCCCCTACTTTGTTTGCTGAAAGTGTGGGGTTCCTGGCATTAGGTTTTGCAGGTGTGGTTTGGACTACCTGGAGGCTGGATTTACTGGGTGCCTGGCGCTGCTTCACTGTGCAGGGTCTACGCTCGCATAACCTGTTGGGTTAGAATGAATGATCATTTCAATTTGGGGATTCAAAAGCCTAGTACTTAAGGGGTCAACTCTTAACTTACTCGTTTGTATGGGGCTACAGGCACTGCTTCTGACTTATCTCCTCATTCTGCTGTGTAGTTTGCCCCTAAACCCTAAACCCTAACCCCTAAACCCTAAACCCTAAACCCTAAACCCTAAACCCTAAACCCAGCAGTCGGCAGCTTTGGCAGTCCATGTGGCACACCCCAGTCAAGCAGTCGATCTGGGAGTTTTCGGGTTTAGGGTTTAGGGTTTAGGGTTTAGTGTTTAGTCCCTGATCTTGGGGTCCTTAAAATAAGGGTCCTACTACTTGGGGTACTATACTTGGGTCCCCTAATTTTGGGAAACCCCCATATCTGTTTTAGGGTCTAGGGATTGGTTCCTGAGTCTTTCCACGGATCTCCTCAACATCCTATATAAACCGTCGTATGGTTCGAAGAAAAATTAAACCATCTATGGGTTGGCATCGTGGTTGGTGACCGACAGTTGTATTAGCATAGAGGAACCTTATCTGAAGAGAAATGGAACCTCAACCCCAAACCCTAAACCAATTACAAGCCTGAAAAGTCCAGGGCCTGAAAGCCTGCCCCCCCTTTAGCCTATTTTAGGGTTTAGGGTTTAGGGTTTAGGTTTTTGAACACTGCAAAGCCCGCTTCCTCTCCCTGTGTAGAGTATCTTAGGGTTGACGGTGTAGGATTTAGGGTTCAAGTGTTGGGGTCTAGGGCTTCAAGCTGCGGGATTAGGGCTTTTGGGTTAAGTAAGTTTGGTATCTTTGTCTCAAAGACAAACAAGACGATTCAACTGGTTATACAGACCAGTATCAGCCCTGCGACATAACCCTTCCTGCCTTCCTGATGTTATTCTGGGGGTTCCTTACTATAACTATAGCACAATATACCCCAAAACCCCATTCTAGTTCTTAAGGTCCCTACAGCAAGCTCAGCAAGCTGAGGGGTCTGGGGATTTTGGGTCATCTCTCTGTGTAGATCGTGTCCTAATCTTCTCACCCTTACCGCCATGTGCAAGAGTGTGGGGAGACCCAGGTTTTCCGCCCAACCCTAAACCCTAAACCCTTAAACCCTGAACCCTAAACCCTAAACCCTAAACCCTAACCCTAAACCCTAAACCCTAAACCCTAACCCCTAAACCCTTCAGCTGCCCT